GTAAGTATACCTACTGCCTGTACGGGGTGTGCGAGCGAGCAGATATACTGACCGGAAGATTCTCCAGCGCTGTGTAGTTCATTGAGAACTACACGCCAACAGCTGCTAATACTGTCAGGACATGTAGTTCAATCATTCGCAGAACACTGAATGGATGACAAAGCTGTATAGGCAGAGCCCAGCACAGCTGCACTGTTTTCAACTATGACCGCTAGTACGGGGAACATCTCCCCAAAGGTCAACTTATCCTTTTTAAAGTGTTATTAAACCCAAAATCCAAAAAAATGTCATATATTGCACTGATCATTGTAAACACCCCTGTGGGTGGTGAATGGTTTGGCCACTAATGTAGCTGTGACATCTAAGAACTGGTAAGCTGCAATATATTTCATTTTGGGTTTATTACCACTTTAAGGTGCAGTGTAGCACAACTGATACATCATGGCTATTCATTGCTTCTAAATATCTCTGGGGACAGTTTTGTTTTTCTCCCCCAACAGTGCGACTTTTCTGATAGCAAAGAGCATGCTATGTACAATGACTACTTGCAGTGTGATAAGGGCGGTTTTTTTTTTTTTTTTTTTTTTTTTTCCAAAATTGACTTCCTCAGTGAAAAATGAATAAGGCGGAAAAAGAAGCTGAAAAAAAATGAGTGTGCAATAAGACATAATGTGACATATTTGAGTGTTGAGTGTAACCTGCTGTATGGCGTTCTGTGGAGTCTGTAGTGCTGAGTGAGGAAAGCAGCGCATGTAATTCTTCCTTCTGGTCAAATGGCACCTGGTTTTCTCCTTCCCTACCTCTCTGTACAATATCTTCCCCTGCCAGTGAAGTACATCTTAGTAAACTGGCCAGTGCTATTCTCTTGAATGGCTGCTGTGCGAAGTGGAGAAAGTCCTCTCCTTGTTGCAGCTATATAAAAAAGGAGATAATCCCTATTGCTTCTAGCTATCATGAATCTGTTAATACAACTGAAAAACTGCACATGCACCAGGATTTCCATGATTCTGAGGCCAATATCTCAGTCAATGAATAGATGCTGACCCTGATGTGGGCTTTATAGAGTTAAAGGGGAAGTGGGATGGCAAAAAACAAATGTACGTACTGGCCTATATGGCTGATACTGCAGGTGACCCCAGCTGACTCTAAGGTGGCTCCTGCTGGCATGACCGCTGATTGCTCAGTTCTCAGTCTTCACTGAGCACAGTTTGGTTACTGTCAGTCTCTGGCTCTCTGCTCTGGTCCTTTAGCACTCGCTGGAACGCCGGACTGTGGAGTGGGCGTTAACAGCTGGCTGGCGCAGGCTCTCAGTGGGGTTCTCAGAGACTGAGCTAGCTGCTGGTCAGGCATCTGGATGAATCCCAACATTGTTGACTGGATCCCTGCAGAGCCTGTACTGTGATGTAAAGCCCACTGTTAACTAAACTAAGTGTACTCCTGATACCTAGAACAGAAGTATGACAAAAAAAAATGTTTTGACTATAGTTCTCTTGTAAACACAAACCCAATTGGTGGGGCTGGGGCAATTCATTAAATAGATTGTTGTGAAAGGGCCCTTATGCATAGTTTGTTCTAGCCTGCTCTATGCATTTAGTGCTTGGACCCTCTAAATAGCTGTGGGGGATGATCTGATGGAGGTGCTCGAGGTACAGTTTTTAGGTGGACGGCGGGGTAAGATGTCGGGTACAAGACTGGAATGGTAGTGTGGGGCGATTTGTAAAAAAGAGGTTCCTTCAATGTTACAATGTTACTCGTGGGGGGGGGGGGGGGGGGGGGGGGGGGGGGGGGGGGGGTCCTTTCTTTCCCCCCCCTCCCCATCCCATTAAGGGTGCATTCACACTTGACTAATTTCTAACGCTTACCAAATGCCCCCATAGCATTTGACAGGTATTTGCGGAGCGTTAAAACCACTTCCCAAACGCCCTCTGTTCATTTTTTTTAGGTGTTTGATAGGCGTTAAAACTGCTCCACAAATGCCTACCAGCATCCCCATAGACTTGAATGGCAGGCTTCAAGGCGTCAATTTTGCTGCAACGCTAACACTTCAGTGTGAACAGCACTGTGTGCTGCCCTGTGTAGAATTCCTGACTGAGCGTTCCAGTAAATGTGTCTGACTATTCTATTAGCACATTATGTAACAGGGAGTATTCACACTTGATGATTTATTTTCATGCACCTTTGCATGTAGTTAAAAGAAAACCCACATCTGTATTGCTAGGTTAGTCATTGTTGAGCTAAGGTGACTTTTAGCAAGTAACTGGACATTCTTTCAGCAAGCTCTGTCAAGAAAGGCATGCTGTTCACCACACCCAGAGCATGGTTTAAGACCACAGAGGCCCTGTCATTAAATCATTATATTCTAACAACAATCTTCCTATAACCGATCAGGCATTGCTTTATATGCATGTTATGTACCTGTAAATGATTCCCCCCCCCCCCCCCCCCCCCCCCCCCCCCCCCCCCCCCCCACCCACCCCCTCACCCCCCCCCCTTACATGAAGAGGAGAGAGGTATGATGTGCCAGGCACTAGAGAACACTGACTGTGCTAGGGAGATGACTTCCTGGAATGATTGAATTCCCTCCCCTCAAACAAATTTTTCAGTCATGTTGTGAGTTGATAAAACCGTGAGCATCTAAACTGCTTGAGGGTTTTTTGTGTTTTTGGTTTTTTAATGCCTGCATTTTAAGTTGGTGACAGGGTTTCCAGGTCTGACCAGTTTAAAACTACGTGTACCTCAGCAAAAAAAAAAAAAACGCTTAGAGGGCTATTATGAAGCATCCAACAAACACCTATTTATGCTACTGGCTTCTCAGCAATTGTATGAAAGTGGCAGGCATGAAAAGGCTCCTTCAGCTTCTCGAACTATTAAAGCTACACTCCAGGAAAACCACAAAATATAGCTGAAATTCATATGAGGATTTTTTTCCCTGCTGAAATGGGCACAGTTGGGTCCGGGACTTCAGCAATACAGCCTGGTCTGGGACCCTTCTCAGCACACAGCATAATATAATAACGTTTCAATGCACAGGATAAAAGAAAAGGGACAATTACATGAATGCTTGTCTAAAGAACATTTTAGATTTGATTTGAATGAGTTTAGAGAACATGACCCTCTCTGTAATTTGGAAGTGAATTCCAGAGTTTTGAAGCAAGGTTCCGTCTCCCATCCAGTGTAGGTGAGTAGGAGGAACACACAAGACCAGAATTTGAGGAGCGGAAGTTGCAATGGGGGGGAGTAAGTTAAAGTTCAGAGAGGGATAATGGGGTGCCAAGCCATGAAGAGCCTTATAGGTGAGCAAGAGAATGTTAGTCTATGTAAAACCTGGCAGGTAGCCAGTGCAAGGACTCCAGGATAAGGGTGACATCACTTGTACCAAACATAGTGAGGATTCTGGCTGCAGAATTTGTACATGCTGAAGTCAATTAATGGTGGATTTAGGTACACCAGCGAGTAGAGCATTTATGGTAATCGTCAGGGGGAGTACAATAGTATAGGTCAGCTTTTTGACTACAGTGTATGATAGCATAGGATGTAGCAGAGCAATGTTTCTCCAATGACAAAAAGATGTTCTGACAACATTTTGTACATGTGGATCAAAGGTTAAGCTAGCATCAAATATTACCTAGATTTTTCAATTTAGACTGCAGCTCAGGTACAGTGCCATCTATAGATAGGCTGTCCTAATAGTAGAACCCAGTTTGGCACTTAAATGATGAAATGCAGCAGTGGACCAAGGTGGTCTAAGGGGCTATTCATACCAGGTGTTGATGCTCCGATGTCATTTACTTCAAATGGCACCCCAACACACCTTGTTGTGCAGCAGTATGGTAATCTCTTAGAGACTCCCAACAGATTTCTCCCTGACACTTTAGTTCGGCTTTGGCAGTTGGCATAACAAAGTTGTCTGATACAGTCTCCGGAACTGAAAATTGAGTACTTTTATGGGGGGAACCAGATACGACTTCCTTGGTATGGCCTTATTGATTGGCCCAAGCAACTGCAAGGTAATCTCCTAATTGAAATTTGTTGAGATATAAAGCCTAGTGGTCTGTTTTAACCCAACAGTGCCCATTCATAACTGAAATATCAGTGAGCCTTTTTTTGGGGGGGGAGGGAGGGGAGTGATCTTATAGTTTTGTGAAATACCCATTTTGGAAGTTGTAATTAGGAGTTGCTGGCATACAGCATTTTATACATACATATGTAATGTATGTAAGTAGGCACTCAAGCCTGCCAAAATGATTTTTTTTCCCCATGCAGGTTCCCATTATGAAAAGTGTACTTTTTTTTTTGTGTTTTTTTGATTGGAGTTAAAATTCTCAAATATATCTAGTTATTAGATAAAGAATTAACATTACAATTCACACTGTCTAAATATGAAAACAATCAACTGATTTGACATTCAGGTATATTTTCTTTCTTTCGTGTTTTAACACTGTCAGAGTTTTAAACCTGAAGAATTTAAACTCCATCCTGTTCTTTTTCTGTTAAGGTTAAAATTGAAGAAGGAAAATACAGAAGTCGTCATTTGACACGTTTTTTAAATGAGAATTATTTGAAGCTCAGAAATAAGTGAAGCTGAATTTGAAAAAAACTATGCATGCTAATTGTCAGAGCTGAAGTCCTACTTGTAGAATATTGAGAAATATGTATGAAGTGGGGAAGATGAAAAGAAGTCAGAATTTGAATGACTGAAGAATGAAGAAAGAAATAAAAAATGAAGTTAAGATAAGAAGTAAACTGGAGTCATAATTCTCTACGCTAAGTAATTACTAGTCTGTTTCTGTGTCCCTGTACATTTTTTCAGAATAAATGCATGCATTATCTGTTTAAGAATGCATACAGGGTAAACAAAGGGGAAATTATGTAAATTTAGACACAAAGACATCTTTTATAGACTATTTAAAAGCGGAGTATTTCAACCTCCAGAAACATTTTAGATCTATATTAAAACTGTTTTAGGGATTTGTAGTAAAAATGTATCTGTTTGCGTTCAGGAGTCACGATCTGCTTCAAGGAGCGGCAGTGCTCGTCGATCAGGCAAATCTACAAGCCATTCCCCGAATCGTTCTCCTGCACGATCAAGGTCTAAAGAAGGATCCAGACATTCAAGATCAAAGTCAAGATCTAGGTCTGAGTCAAGGTACACATTTATGGACTCTCTTGATTTTAAGAAGTAAAGAAAAATGGGTTCTTGATCAATGGTAGTGTGTTTGGATCAGTCACTTTTTTTTTTTTTTTTTTTTTTCTTTCTCCCTGTAGATCTAGGTCAAGAAGAAGTTCTCGGCGTCACTACACAAGATCTCGTACTCGTTCAAGGTCTCACAGAAGGTCTAGAAGCCGCTCTTATAGTAGAGACTACCGAAGACGTCACAGCCACAGTCGTTCTCCCATGTCAAATCGAAGACGGCATATAGGGAGTAGAGTAAGTTCGGTATGCTCTTGAATAACCACTTTTCACTACAATACACAAAAATGTTATGTTATGTTATGTGAAATGTTTTGGGGTAGAAATATAGGAGTTGCCACTATGGGGTTACATTTATTTTTATGGTGCAACTTTGGTGCTATAATTTTAACCTTGCTTTGTTTCTTAGTGAGCCACTAACCGGGAACAAATGCTTGGCAGAGAGAGTCCTAGATCACCCAGCACATCACCTGGGGCAAGTGATTTTACTTGCATAGTAAGGCTAGGTTAGAGTTCAAGCCTAGCAGCTTGCTCCTTTTACAATAGACCTGGACTCTGTCAAAATTTGCTGCTGCTGTATGTTCGGTCCAGGTACACCACTGCCCTCCAATAATGCACCTTCTATGTCTTGGTGTGCTATTTTGTTAGACATTGTAAATCGCTGTCCAAAGGCTGGTTTAAAACCATCAGATCAGGTTGTGAGAGTGGCTCTGACAAGAATTCTCTTAACTAAAGTAGGGTGTTACAAAATTCAGGAGCCCATATTTGATGTTTCAGGAGCAAAAAATCCAATGAGTGCCAAACAAATGGAAAGAGTCTAAAAGCTTTTAATGTGGTATGCTGTTGGTGTTCCCCCTCCTCCCAATAAGACTGCTCAAAACAGCCAATGAGCTTTGAGAGCTCAAATGTTCTCCCCCTCTTTAGAGCCTAAGTGTGATGGAGCGTTTGGAATGGTCTAAAGTGGCACGGTTGCCAAGGTTTAATTGTATGCGACAAAGTCGCGTGATAAAGCGCATCTATGCTGGTCTTTTGATCACCTTGTAGCCCTCCAATCTCCATCACAGTCAAGCCCTGAAGGGGGGATCTTTGAGCCTTCAAAATACATTGGCTGTTCTGTGGTGTGTTTAAAGTGTTTTGGATGCTCGGAATTTCTGTTTTGTTGCTCATTGGTTTTTATGCACCTTCAAATGTGTGGATTGTCATAACTTAATGCATGTTAAATGCAACAAACCGCTCTTGTGTGACGTATATTCTCCCTTTTAAATTAGTCCTTAACAGGAATGCTCTTCATGTGCCTTCAAACCTATAGCTGTGTGAGATTACAGGGCACCCTATGTCTGTAGCTGCTAGTTTTAGTGAGGTTTTTGGTGATGTACTACTGTTCTAATCCATTGTTCTTGCTGGAGAGACAGCTGCAGTGCAATGATCTCAATATTTCTTTGTTTTAATTCCCCCCCCCAATTCACGGATTGTATGGGGAGCCAGCTCTGCTATGAGGAAGCAAAGCCCCCTGCCTCTGCCAAGATGGCCACATCCCCACAGCGATACAGGCACAGTAGAGACCTGTTGATAGGCTTTGGGATGTAAATGCCAGCAGCGTGTTTTTGACATCAGTATGAGATGTTTCTGAGATCATCCAGAATTGATTTTAGTTGACCTCCTTCTGCCATGCATTTGACCTAATTCAAGCAGGTTTTGCATTCTCAGTAGAGACAGTGTAGCCTTTCCAGGCTAGCATTACCAGTGTGTTGCTTTCATTGGTTGTACTGGGATGATGCCTGCTACATCTCAGTATTGTTTTATTTTTGAGGGGGGGTTGGCTGGTGAAACACATGCAATCCGCCATTGGATTGCATTTACAAGCAGCCGCCTTCCCGGGCTTTCCCACCTCACTGGGGAACCCAGGACTGCAGCTGGCCACAGTCCTCTCTATGGTCTTAAGAAACCACAGGCAATGAGTAGTTTGTCGCTTACTTTTTTCAAACCCGTAATGGTTGGTTTAAAACTGTATCAGATCCTACCAATCATGATATCCAAAGTTTTTAAGGGCAGATCTGTTGCTGCCTATTGGTACGTAAAAGGCAGTATCGCCACAAACGTCAGATTGAGAGCAGTAATTCTAGCACCTAACCTGTATAAATCTGAATTGGCAACCTGGTAAAGGTTTTTAGATCATTGCTTACAGGTAGTAAAATGTATATGTCGTCGTTGCACAGGCGTGACATGTTTGGCATCTATTTAATCGCGTAACATCTTTTCATATGTTGGCAAACCATTGAGTATTTTTGTGGGGTGTTTTTTCTTTTGTGCATTGAAGTCAGTTTGTTTTTTTCCAAAAATTTGTGTTTGAAAACCCACTGCGCAAATACCGTGTGACATTCAAAAACAAAAAAGAGAAAACCATTTATTCTCTAGGGCATTTGCTTTAAAAAAACATAACGGGGGGTGGGTTAAGTAATTTTCTAGCAAAAAAACACTAGCTTTTTAAATGTAAACTATCAGGAAAGGTGTCTTTAGGATGTTAAATAGAAATTTTTTTGGGGGTGGGGGGGTGTTTCACAATGTTATAGCTTATACGGTGAAGATCACTTTATAAGCAATAGCTTTTAGTTGTCATGAATGGGTTTCCCATTCATGAATGGCCTTCTTTAGATTGTGGTCTATGATTGGCTAAGGTAAGCGCATGGTACAAGGTCGCCAAGTGCCATATGCTTGCCGTGGGCCAATCGCAGATCAGTAAGAAAGCGGTTCATGAATGGAAAGCCATTCATGACGTGTTTACTTTGCTATCATGTGATCACTATGACCAATTTATAGCAATCACGATACCTATTTACCGGTAACAGTAATCTGCTGTGTCTGGTGGACATAGCGGTCACAGGAGGGGGAACGCTCCTAAACTGCAGCAGGCTCAATCATGTATGAATATATACTTAACTGATCCTGCCTGTGCTGCCCTGCCGCAGTAAATGTTCTATGGCGGGGCCGCGAATGGTTAAAAACGGTGGCTCCTATATTTCTTTCCTGACAGATTATTGTTTGTCTTTTTGTCTGTGTTTGAATTTAATTGTATTTGGTGAAAGAGGAGCAGTGCTAAGATGTGAATGCTTTCCCACTGCAGGCAAATCCTGATCCCAACTGCTGTTTGGGTGTGTTTGGTCTAAGTCTCTACACCACGGAGCGAGATCTAAGAGAAGTATTTTCAAAGTATGGTCCAATAGCCGATGTATCTATTGTGTATGATCAGCAGTCTCGACGTTCCAGAGGATTCTCATTTGTCTACTTTGAAAATGTTGAAGACGCTAAGGAGGTGAGTAATCTGTTTACTGCATGCTGCTTGAATCTGGCAGTTCTGGTCTGTAAAGTGCCTGTTAGTTTACAAAATGTTTGGTTTCTACAACTGTGTCAATTCCTGCAGTTTTTGGAAGTACTGCTTATCTGGAGCTGCCCACTTACAAAGCAGTTATTAAATTCATTCTGTGTGGTGTTTTTTACTTGGGCACATCATTTTCTTCAATTTGATGTTAGGAAGTAGTAATACACACATTTGCTTTTCTAAATGAAATAATCATGTGGTAAATCTTTTAGGCAAAGGAACGTGCAAACGGAATGGAACTTGATGGAAGACGCATACGTGTAGATTTCTCAATTACAAAAAGGCCTCACACCCCTACACCAGGAATATACATGGGAAGGCCAACCTAGTGAGTACCTATCCTCTTCTAGTCTGTCAAATAATGCAGGGTTTTCTCCATCTATCCTAATGGAAATGTTCACCTGTGGGTTTGGAAACTGGTTTTATAACGAACATGTTAACCTTTTTCTGTGCAATGGTTTTGCACATAGCAGCCCCAAACCTTTTCTAGGGCCCCTTGCTGTTGCTGTGTGCTGATCCTCCTCCTCTGTGAGTGGGCACTTGTGCGTTCCTGAGCCAGCCTACGTGTGTCCATTCACTGACTGCAGCAGGAGCCTAGGTCTCCTGCTGCCTGCAAAGCCTCTGCTGCTGGGGTACTAAATTTAAAATTTCACGGGGGTCCAGTCATTAAAAAAAAAAAAATGTTTCCAGCGGAGGTCCGAGTGTCATGTTGGTGCTGTGATTCGGATCCTTCACATCACGGCCTCCTGTGCACATCACAGTTCCTCCTCCCATCCCCTCCGTTTACATCAGACCGTCCCATCATAGATTCTGTCCATGACAGACTCCCCCCTCCCTCCTGATTGCTTAGCCCACCCCAGTGCCTAGCAACCAGTCACTCGCTTCCTAACATGAAAAGTCCTGCCGTGCTTCCTGGCTTGTGTGAATAGGGTAGGACAGTGTGGAGAGGGGGGGAGTGCTGTAATGTTATGAAAGGGACAGACCTGATGCTCAAATGTTGGGCCCTTCCTTGATAGCAGCGGAAGGCGGGCAAGTTGGGAGGACATTCGGGCAACTGTTTTGGTGAGGCTGCGGTACGGAAAGGAATATTTCTTGGTCCAGATCTGGACTGCAGTCCTCCATTTTTAGTGATGCCTGCTCTACTGAGACCAGGAAGAGCTTCAGCAGGCAGGCACAGTGCTGGATCTACCTCTTTTAAGGCAAGAATCAAGTGTTTTTGTAATGCAGATAAAGTAATCGCACACCCCCACCCCCATCAACTGACCCCCAGGATGTGACCTGTGAAATGTCCATAGAAACCACAATAACTTAGCATGGGTACCAACCTATTTCCACTCTACAATAACAAAATTGTTGGAAGTTTATTATCTCTTATGGTTATTCAGGTCTGTGCATCAGACCATTTCATTGTTACATTTTACTTGCGATCAGGCAAACGATGACCTTCAGCTAATTTCACTTCAAACTTTAGGAATCTTTCCTGCCAGTTCCAACTTTTCTGGTTCATAATGCTAAAGGAAATCTAGAGGCTAACATTGCTGGAAGTTGGTTGTCATTGCTGACCTCTTTATGGATACGTTTCCTTGCTGAAATGCTGATCTACTAATATCCCTACTTCCAGTGAGTCACTGACCTGCATCAAGTGTGCAGCAGTTACATCACAACTCCTAATCTTCACACTTGTTCTAATTTTCTTTGTGATAAACCTAAAGGATAAGTTCACCTTTTTAACAAAAAATAAATGCACTTTTTTTTTCCTTTTGGCAGATTAAAAAAATGTGCATTTTACTATTTTGTTTGTTTGGTGCAATACTTCAGAGGCTCCAGAAACAAACAATTATCAGATCGCTGGTGCCATGCAGGTCTTCTGCAGACCTCTCCATGTATCCACAACTCCATGGTAGTTGATTGAGAACTACAAGATCCCCTGAAAGGGGGCCAGTCTGTGTGTAACATTTACACCCTGAATATGAGTGTAACATGTTATGAAAGGTGATTTCAATTCCACTTGGGTAATATTGGTCAAAGTAGTAGTTTCAGTTTACTGGGGCATGCTGTATTCCCTGTCAGTGCAGTCTTGTGCCACAGCTCATAAACTCACCCCTTTTGATTCCCCCCCCCCCCCCCCCCCCCCCCAATGCTGCATTGCAAAAGACCAGAGGGAGTGCATCACATTCCCTAACCTGTCAAGTATTAACCCCTTTCTGCTGACCGTACGCAAACATGCGGCCCCACTAGACTGGGCTTTTTTCTATGTGGCCACTAATTTGCATACCTGTCTTTGTGCTGGGAGTGTCGCACGGGTGCATTTAGATTTGTTTTACACTTAGGCACAAAGTGGTTAAATGTTCCTTGTCGCTTTAAGCATTTGCAAAGAGTATATACAGTATGCATATTGTGCATGCTGTAATGTGTATTTCATAGTTATGTTTTGAACAAGATGGTGCAAGACATCTGAATTTTTTTTCCTTCCCATTCAGTCTTTGGTATTGCAGGCCATAGACGGGTCGAAAACCGGCAGTTTAAAAAAACAAATCGGTCGTCGTTCAATAGGCTGACGTTACCACCAACGTTTAAAAAAAATCGGCTGATTTTTGTCCCGTCTACGGCAGGCATTTAATTACTTCTGTCTCTTGCAGAGAGCTCCTCTATTATTTGACATGAAAAAGTATTGCGGTTGCAACAATGTATCCATTTTGGATACAGCTGGTTTTATTTGGATACAAATAGATACATTGTTGCAACTGCAATACTTTTTCATGTCAAATATAATGGATTGGAATTCTTTAATTTTTCTTGCAGCAGATTTTTTTTTTATCGATAAAACTATCGGCCGATTTGCCCATCATTGCCGGGAAAACAAACTTGTCATGGACCGCATATCTCTGCTGAAAGACAAAGCTAGTCAAACACGCTATACACTTGTATTCAATCAGTGCAAGCAGACTGGTAGGCTTATTTTATGAGGAAGTGTGATGAGCAAATTTAGGATTGCGTGTGTGTAATATATGTTTTAAATTTGTACACACTACCAACAATCGGTGTCTTTCTCCCCCCCCCCCCCCCCCCCCCCCCCCCCCCCCCCCCCCCCCCCCCCCCCATCTATACATTCCATTTAAACATGTCTTTGTTCACGTCACCTAGTGGAAGCTCGCGTCGCAGAGATTATTATGATCGAGGATATGACAGAGGGGGTTATGACGACAGAGACTACTACAGCAGATCATCTTACAGGTTAGTATTGTTAATTACAGTTGTAAAATATTCTCTGGTCTTTAACACCCCATTTATTTATTGCATAATGTACAGTATGTAAGTATGCATATTTCTTACTGAAGGGGCTGATTTGGAAGGTGACAGTTGCTGTAGTAGTTACCTCTACCACAATCTTCACCCTTCTGCATAATGACTGCAGGGGATTGCTTGCTCGCCACTGACACCATTCAGAAAACCTTGTATTGTAACTATGCAATAAAGATCATGCCTAGACTTTACCTTTTATGTAGATGCAATTTAAAGTGTTTTGTCTTAAGTTATTTACTTACAAATCAGTTTGCTGACAGTTGGCCAAAAATAGCTGTAAACCTTAGGTAATGGCAATCACATTAATTGTGTAAGGTTAATTCCATCCTTTGGACATCTTACTAGGTCATATATACATATAGTGATTCATTATCAAAGAACAATTTTGCCGCTATTAAATTTAGGGTTGTCAGAACGCCTGATCTCTGTACTGTTTCAAGTTACAGATATTCAGGCAGTCCAGAAAGTTCATTAACCTCTTGCCTACCGGGTACTTGTACCCCCTTAATGCACAGGTCAGCTTTCAGCGCTGTAGCACTTTGACAGTTGCATGGTCATGCAACACTGTACCCTTATGAAATTTGTATAGCGCTTTTTTTTTTTTTTTTTTTTTCCCCTCACAACCAGAACTTTATTTTGGTGGTATGTAATCGCCGCTGGGTGATTTTTTTTATCTTTTGCGCTATAAACAAAATTAAAATTTGAAGAAAAATTTATTTTGATTCTATTATAAAATTTTGCAAAATGGTAATGTTTTCTCCACTGATGTGCGATTATGTGGTGGGTGGTACTGCTAGGTACTGATCATCAGTACCCTGATTATTAGTGCCGATCTGTTCTGACAATTGCTGGTTATCAGCAGGAAAGTGCAGCTGATAACAAGCAGCTGTATTTACCCAGTGATTTGCCGTGTCATTGGACACAGCTGATCACGTGGTAAAAGGTTGCTGTGATTGGATTTTTACCACAGCACTTGATCAGCTGTTTCTGTAAAACAGTGATCACGGAGATCGCCATGTGTACGCCACTGGGGAGAGCGTGGGAGGGCACGTTCTGAGGGGACATATGACTCCCTCCCAGAACTGGACAACCACGCTGTAGCAGTCGCTCAGCTATAGCGCGGTTGCCAAGTGGTTAATGGGAGCCCATGAATTTCAGCAGTGCCTTTAGTGCCGCATCACATGTTAAAAGGAAACCTAGCATTTTGTTCAAGTGATATTTGACAGTCCATATTATTGCAGTATTTCAAGCAAACCTGTACTTTGCATATATGGGACAAAAAGTTGGGTTTTCTGCAAAAGGGGACCTATAAGTGACTTTCCCTGTGCGTAATAAATATATATAATCTCTCTATATCCATATCATTTTTTTTTTTCTACTGTGTTTTTGTATTTCAGAGGTGGCGGAGGGTGGCGTGGTGGACAGGACCGAGACCAGTTTTCTAGGTAATCCGATCAAATCTTTTCCTCCTGCCCATTTGGAATATTTAATTAGAACAGTCTTGCATAGAGATCTCTGCTAAGGAAGAAAATAGAGAATCATTCAATCAGTGCCACTGGATATGTGCTGGCTGAGGTTATATTCAGTACTTAACATTTAGATTGTGACCACCTTTAATGTTTAAAGTTTGCGGTTTGCAATTTAGTCAATATCTCACCTTTTCAATGGAGGCTAACCTAACAGTGCTGTTTATCTAAAGATTAACTGATGACAGAAGCTTTTGTCAAAAGGTTTATTGACACAAGAATGCAGATAACTACACAGGTTGCATTGATTGTCATTCTGGTCAATTCAAATGGAGAATTTCAAACTGCATGATTCAACACGATCACTCTTATTTAGAGTTAATTTTAGTCCATGCATTCTGTCTGCACTACAAAATGTGTGACCATGGAACATATAAAGTATTTGAAACATAAAGTCGTTTTTGTAATGTGTATTTCTATGATTTTATTTTTTATTTATTTTTTTTTAGGAGGCGATCCCCCTCACCATACTACAGCCGCGGTGGATATAGATCTCGATCCAGATCACGTTCTTACTCTCCACGTAAGTTTTGTAGGTTTACTTTGTTTTGAGGCAGGATTTTGTTTGGCACATGCCTAATTCAAGACTGTATATTGGGTTTGGACTAATGCCTATTGCCATTCAACTGTCAAATGCCTGAGACTCTAATGTATAGCAAATGTTTTGCAATTGACAGTTTTGACGACCTCAGGCACAGAGGGGATTGAATTTGATGATGAATATATACCTGTGATTTCAAAAGTATTGTCACCTCATGCCAGGGGTGAGCAATTAAATGAAAAGTAGGGCGAAAGCTCTTTTGGCCCTACTTCTCCTGGGGGTCACACCTGTTACACATTTTCATCTGACAGCAGGATAGAGTCACTTAGCCAATCCAGGCACTGGAGAGATTCCAACTTTTAAGTTGGAATCTACCCAGATTCATGATCGGTGAGCTGCTGAGAGCTTGAGCCGTTTCTTCCAGTCCTTGCAGCTGTCCACATAGACATCCATCAGTGTGCCTCTCTGAGCCTGTCTGCTTCCTCAGTGAAGATGGATGTGGCCCTGGGGCCTCAATATGCCCAGGTCTGCCTTAGGCATTTTTTAGGCCAGGTAAAGTTCACTTCAGCTGTTCATCTCTTTAAGTCCCCATTTTTCACTTGGCCATTAAATTGCACACTAGACACAATTGTGTGTCCTGCAAGCAACATAGACACACATGCACCATAATGGAGCACACAAATAGGTATTTTGATACAACGGGCACTGGGTGGGAGGAGAGGGGTTGGCTTGTAGGGTACTAATGCTTACCTCCCCAAATCTTTATTAAAAAATCCTATTTGTGTATAAAAGAGGTCTTATTTGCTGATCTTTTCCTAATGACTTTGTATAATTTCTAGGGATGGTGAATGCATTAAACAAAAATTTTTTTTTTTTTTTTTTTTTTTTTTTCTTTAGGGCGATACTGAAAGCTGAAAAGATTCAACCATCTGAAAAATGAAGCAAACAATGTTTTTGTGCATACAGTAATGCTTACAAGTGATGTATATGATAAACAGCTTTTTGTGACAAAGTTCTGGTAGTTATGTTTAAATTTTTTTTTTTTTTTTTTTTTTATTTTCCTGCTCATGTAGACCAACCCGTGATTTAGATTTTGCAGAGGTTTTGCATGTATTTTTTAAATGGTTTGACTTGTGATTACCAATTTTCCTCAAACTACTTTTTAAAAATAAATGTCTTTCAAAAGTATATATATTTTTTTTTTTTCTTTATGATCCACTTCACCTTATATATTTGTTTATATTTTTTTTGTTCAATAGTTGTGCTCATCACTTTATGGCATTCATAAATAAGGGTGATAAATTCTGTGTGGGCAGAGAGTATTTAATAAGCCTTGGTACCTTCCTAGTCTTTACTTTTTTGTGTTCTCATTCACATAATTTGTAAATAGGGCAACTCCTGTTTCCAAATATGTGCCTAGACTTGCAGGATATGTTGCTTTTTAACATGTTCACTTGGATGTCAAACAACTGCAACTTTTTTTGGACATTGAGGTGAAAGATAAAATTGGTTTGTTTTAGTATGGGTAGTGCAAGGTTAAACATCTGTTTTGGATGCATCTTTGCATATTTAATTCTTGAAATGCTAAATATTTGCCTTTTTGTAGCAAAATATTTGTATGTCATGATCATTAAAAAGCTGTATTATAAATACATAAATCCTATGTGATAATTGTATGCGAACCCAAAACGCTGTTGGCAATACCTAAAGCAGACCTGTGAGTGCTTTTTTTTTTTTATTTTGCAAACCTCAGCAAGAAATACAGCAGGCATAGGCAACTACATATGGTTTAATTCCTGTAAATATTTTGAGCTCGCTCCCAAAACCTAGGATGCCTGATTTTTGTGTATGCAACTAGTAACAGGACTTTCCTTTTTGAGGCCAGCTGTCACATTTTGTTGTATTTTAGGTATAGGCCACAGTATCACTATGTATTGAATGGTCCGTGTTTGACAATAGAGCAGCCTCAGTTTTTTAAAGCCCCAACGCACTTAAAAAAACAAAATATGCCTGCTTTCTTATGGCGTCAACTGGAACCACGCAGATTTACAAGCTGAACTTGACTGCAGCATTTAAAGGCAGCAAGAAGTCAAAACCGAGGGCCTATTTAGACTTTTGTATTGTGGTAATGCATGCTAATGAGTGTCTAACTGTATTATAGCTTCACATGTTTTGAATGGCACATCACGCTAATACGTTTGGTGTCCACATCAATGGTGCACATACTGTGCTTTTATGGTGTGCTGTATTTGTGCAAAAAATGTACCCAACTTTTATCTGCATTGTGGCGCATTCTAAATGAAGAGTGCTTTAATGCAATGCTATAATGCACTGCACCCCATAAGTCTGGCCAGCCTGAAAGTTTTTTTGAATACATGCACATTGTATACACATCGGAAACCCTTCCTGATGTTTACTCGGGACTTTCTGGTACCTTCAGGTGATTGGACAATAGCAAAGCTTTGCTGGTACTTCCCCCTGGGTGTACCCCAGTAACCCTACTCCTCATTTCCTTTATAATGCAACAATAGAAGCAGTGCAAACTCTGTACAACCTTGTGAGACATGCCCAGACCCCACATTGTCTTGTAATGTTGCTTTGGACACTTGATTTTGCTTGGGTCCTCACCTCAGCACTTGATGCAAAGCCACAGGGTGCTATACAGGTGCCACGGGCAATTTTATGAAACCCATACCCTGAAGACACATTGGGGTATGCCCACCGTGACTAGCAAAACCTGGACCCTGATTAGGAACCAGCAACATGAATAAATAAAGTTTACCCTGTACTGATACTGTGGCCTACAGATTACAGGTTTTACTAAATGGTATTTTGTCTACTAAAAATCAGGAAAGCAGGAATTGTCTAAAAATTACACACTTGTGCTGTGCATTTAAAGTTTTCTAACTTTGCTGTAGCATTTCAATATTCAGTGTAGTCTCAGGTGGATGACATGTAGTGTTGCAACACACCACAGGTTGCACTATTACCATTATTTCTATCTAGAGCCCTTTATAATAAAGTACTTGGGCACTTCTACTGGCCTCTTTGCTATAAGACAATCTACACTTGGGTTGCAGCACACTGTGTCAAAGACTCATCCCTTTTTATGCATCTTGGTTGCAAAGGTGGAAACCAGGCACAAGGGAACAGTGCCAAAGTTAGGCAAACATTCACTGCTGAAGGCCTGCAAAACACGCAAACTGCTCAGTGACTACGCTTCTCTTGACCCGTAGCAGGACCCTATTTTAACACTGGTATTTGCATCTGATTCTAGCTCTACAGCCCTGGTCAAAAGTTTTGAGAATGACACAACTTAATTTTCAGTCTGCTGCTTCAGTGTCTTAGATTTTTTTTTTTTTTTTTTTTTTTTTTAGATATTACTATGATGTACTGAAGTGTAATTACAAACATTTCATAAGTGTCAAAGCATTTATTGACAATTTACATTCAGTTTATGCAAAAGTCAATATTTGCAGTATTGACCCTTCTTTTTCAACATCTCTGCAATTTGTCCTGGCATGCTGTCAAACAGCTTCTGGGCCACATCCTGATGACTGGCAGCCCATTATTGCATAATCAATGCTTGGAGTTTGTTAGAATTTGTGGGAGGGTTTTGCTCACCTGTCTCTTGAGGGTTGACCACAAATTCTCAATTGGATTAAGGTCTGGGGAGTTTCCTGGCCATGGACTCAACATTTTATCTTTTGTTCCCCATGCCACTTATCACTTTTTGTTTTATGGTGCTCCATGATGGAGCACCATAAGGCAAAAAGTGATAACTGGAAAAGGCATTGATTGTCCCCAAACTGTTCATGGATGTTTGGGAGAAGTTGTTTTCGAAGGATGTTTTTGTTACCTTTCTTTTTTCATGGTTGTGTTCTTGGCCAAAGGAGTGTGCTCACTCAGTTTTGCCTGAGAAGTAACCCCACACATGAATGGTATGACACAGGACTGATGTTCGCACTCCACTTTTTCTCCTCTGGACAAGGTTTTTTTTTTTTTGTGCCAGATGTCCCAAACATTTAGAAAGGGGATTCATCAGAGCATGACTTTACCCAGTCCTCAGCATTCCAATTCCTGTACTTGCAAGCAAACTAAATGCATTAAAAACGTGAAGATGATCACATCAATATGTACCATGCACGTGGTTCTAGTTCAAACCTATGATTTTCAATATTAACCACTTGAGCTCCTGAGGATTTACCCCCCTTAATGACCAGGCCTCTTTTTGCTACTCTGCGCTGCACTAATTCAACTGATAATTGTGCGGTCATGTAATGCTGCACCTAAACGAAATTTACATCCTTTTTTTCACACAAATAGAGCTTTCTTTCGGTGGTATTTGATCGCCTGTGCGTTTTTAATTTTTTGCGCTATAAAAAAAGGCTGACAATTTTGAGAAAAAACAATATTTTGGACTTTGCTATAAAACTTCCAGTAAAAAAAATTAAAAAATCAAATTTTGTCACAAATTTCATCTAAAATGCATTCTGTGACATGTCTTTGCTAAAAAAAAAAATCCCAATATGTGTAAAATAATTGGTTTACATGAAAGTTATAACGTTTACAAATGGCGGGAAATATACTGGGATTTTTATTTTTTATACTAATAATGGCGGCGATCAGCGACTTATGGTGGGACTGCGGTAGACATTTTGACACGGGGGGGGGGGGGGGAACTGACTTGGGGTCACTGACATCCCCAGTGTCACCAATACAATGATCAGTGAAAAAAAAAAAAACCACTGACACTACTAATGGCACTGGGGGAGGAAGGGCTTAACATTTTTAGAGTTTACTGTGTGAGGGGAGTGTTTTACTAGGGGGTGGGGGTGTGTGCTGGACGGGGACAGGCTGATGAGGGAGAGAAACTCTTCTCTCCCTCTTCAGCTTGTCACGAGCTGTCAGGGACTGACACAGAGCAGGGCTGTGTATAAACAATGCAGCCCTGCTCTGTGTCAGCGATCCCCACGAATTGCGGGGAAACTGCCGGTAATGACCAGCCGAGACCCGCTGCTGACACCCGTGGGACAAGTAGGGCAGGTGCGCGCCCCCTACCTGTTTTGCAAAACCTCGTTTTAAAACGTGGTTTTGCCTGCCCGTGCCACCCTGCAAATGCATATATGCAGTGGCTGGGGCAGAAGATGTTAAACTATTGGAGATTAAGTCCAAACAAAGTGAAGGCTCTATTCCAAGAATGCCTAAAAGGGAAGAACAAACCAACATTAACACTGTAAAGTTGTTATTGGTATTTGTAAGCCTCAAGGACTATCTTCTGTGCCACCTTCAGAGGGGATAGCATCAGCATATACCAGTTCTTACCTCCCTTTAAATCAAGTTCTTCCAAGGGCAAGGCAGCACCATGCACCAGTCATGTGATAGGTTGTACACCAGAAGACCAACTTTTGAACAGTATTGAAACTGGCGAGAGCTCGGTCTCATCTTTGACTTCACAGAAGTGTGGCGTCTAAGGGTATTGGCTCTGAATTTTCCTGTCAAACTCAATTGGATCAGATCAACCACTTGTGTGAAATGTAGAATTTATGTGAATTGTGTTGGGGTCCTCCAAGAAGTTAAATGGGGACATCCATGAAATATCCAGAAATGGGTGCTATGATCAGCTGAGTTGAGGTCTGTAGACACATAATGCTTTTGATCAAATTTGAGAAACTTCTGATATGTTCTATCACAAGGGTAGGCAAACCCCCCCCCCCCCCCCCCCCCCCCCCCCCCCCCCCAACACGGGTACCACGCAGCGCCTCTTGCCGACATACGATTCCCTTCCGATCAGCACACCAGAACGGGGAAGTGTCGGTGAGAAACCGTTTCTGCTGCACTAATGCATTCGGATATCAGAATTCCCTGCACTGAGGGGGAGGAACTGTGCCCCCAAACATTGTACATGGTAGGAAACATTGTTTGGTCCTCTATCTTTGGAGCTGCAGCAAAGATCTATCTAGCTCTTGTGTTGGGGAAGAGATTGGGTGTAGTTCTAGGGGGGGGGGGGGGGCAGTCCCTGTTTCCAGGAGGAAAACAGTGATTGGCCACTGCTAAAACTAATCAGTCCTGCTTGCTCTTGAGAATGGTTGCCACTACAAATCTCAGAAGAAAATACAACAAAAACAAATCCTGGGACTTTTGAGGCAGAACCACACATGAAATAGATATAAAAAGTAAAATGCCAATTGTTATTGTGGGGAAAAAGACCTAAAATCATAGGAGACCATATCCAGTGAAGGAAATAAGTATTTGATCCCCTTCTGATTTTGAAAATTTGCCACTCACAAAGAAATGATCAGTCTAAAAATCGAATGGTAGGTGTATTGAAACAGAAAGAATAGCAACAAAAAATTCAAAAGAAATGCATGTCTAAAAAATTATGCACTGATTTGCATGTTCATGAGGGAAATTAGTATTTGATCCCCTATCATTCAGCAGGATTTCTGGCTACCAGGTGTCTTTCATACAGGTATTGATATTAGAAGCTGATAGGCTGATATTAGAAGCGGTCTCTTAAAGGGAGTGCTGCTAATCTGATTTCTGTACAATCTTTCACCACTAGAGCGAAGGACTATACATGATTTGCACAACAATCAGGCCATCACCATCAAACCAGCGGATAAAGGGGGAGCAGTTGTTGTGATGGATACAAACATACATACAAGAAGGCCAGAGGCAGCTGGAACATGCCATCTACTATAAAAAACTGGATTATGGTCCGACCCAGGACTTTACAAAGCAATTAAAAGGTCTCATTAAAACACTTCCAGCCCACCTACATTCAGAACTTATAAATGCGATTCCGGATCATCCAGAAATCGGGGACTTCTACATGCTACCCAAAGTCCACAAGCCAGGAAATCCAGGCAGACCCATCATAACAGGTATGAACACACTCACCGAACAAATCTCAGGCTTTGAAGAAAAATGTTTAAAACCGTTAGTCAAGAATACTGCTAGTTTCCTACAAGACACAACTAACTTTCTGAACAAGATCAACAACAGACAGCAATTACCATCTAATACACCTCTAGTGACTATGGATGTAGTATCCCTGTACAGTAATATCCCTTACAAGGATGGATTAGCTGTATGTCACAGATCCTTATCATCCTCACCAAACCACAAATACACACTGCTGAGGATGTTACACAGCTCATTGAATTCATACACACAACTACTTTGCCTTCAATAAAGACATCTATCTTCAATGTATGGGTACTGCGATGGGAAGTAAAATGGCACCCCAATATGCCAATTTATTTATGGCTGACCTGGAGGAAAAATTCCTGAACAGCATGGAACAAAAACCATACAGATACTATCGGTATATTGATGATATTTTCATCATATGGACAGAAGGTGAAGAAAACCTAAAACAATTTTACTCACTGATCAACACTTTTCATCCATCAATCAAACTAAAAATGGAATACTCAAACACATATGTCAACTTCCTAGACACCACAGTATACATCAGGGATGATACACTTCACACATCAATATACAGGAAACCCACTGACAGATGCAACTACCTCCACAGTTCCAGCTTCCACCCCCAACATACAAAACGTGCCATCATACACAGTCAGGCCATCAGATACCACCGAATATGTTCTGACCCAAGAGACAGAGATAAACATCTCGGGACACTAGCAGACTCCTTCCATAAGAAAGGTTACAAGGACAAAACTATCAACACCAGCATAAACACAGCCTTGAGAACCCGAAGAGAAAATCTGCTTCAGTACAAGGAAAAAAAAAACAAACAACCGTGTACCTCTAGTAACCACATACAACCCAGCACTAGAAGGGATAAGAAAAATAATCAAAGATTTACAACCCATCATAACAGAGGATGGAACTCTGAAAGAAATATTCCAACAACCCCCAATACTGGCCTTCAGACAACCCCCCAACCTCAGAAATAAACTAATCAGTAGGAAACTTCCTTCTGATTATGAGGTCACAAATAATGGAAGCGAATCCTGCAATAAGAAACGCTGCAAACTGTGCAACCAAATCAATCCATCAAAAAGTGTCAGACACTCAAAAGGGATCTTCAATATCTCCGGATCATACAGCTGCACCTCCAGTAATGTTGTGTATCTTATCTAGTGCAGAAAATGCAGCAAAGGATCTTATGTTGGCGAAACAGGACATAAGTTGCAAACAAGGATGAATTTGCACAGACATACCATCAAGGAACATAAAGAAGATGACCTCTGCACACCTGTAGGACACCATTTCGCACAACCAGGCCACACAATGGGAGACCTCAATGTTTTAGTACTTAAAGGAAATTTCAAATCCATTCAGGAAAGAAAAACTTTTGAACTAAGAATGATAATTCTATTTGATACAAGAGATAAGGGCCTGAATTTGGACATGGGATTCCTCAATCATTATCCGACATCTTTATGACTATTAGCTGTAGCTTGACTCCCTCTGTGTGAGTGTAGTATCCCCCCCCCCCCCTCGCTTTGACTGCATCTTATCTCTAGCCTCCTTTTTTTTTTTTTTTTTTTTTTTTTTCATCTCTTCTAACATTCTGCTAACTTTGTGAGTAGTACTGCTTAGACCTTGAAGAAGGGGACATTCCCCGAAAGCTTGTCCTCAAAATTGTATGTTAGTGCAAATAAAAAAAGTATCACGGACAGTACTCAATTGTTTCTGTCGCAAATGCACTAATACGGCTACAATCAACTGTTACCTGTATAAAAGACACCTGTCCACAGGAGCAATCACACAATCAAATTCCAAACTGTCCACCATGGCAGACCAAAGAGCTGTCCAAGGATGTCAGGGACAAGATTGTAGACCTACACAAGGCTGGACTGGGCTACCAAACTGTTGCCAAGCAGCTTAGTGAGAAGGTGACAGTTGGTGCAATCATTCACAAATGGAAGAAACACAAAACTGCTGTCAGTCTCCCTAGGTCTGGTGCACCATGCAAGATCTCACCTTGTGGAGTGTCAGTGATCGTGAGGAATCTACCTAGAACTACACGTGAGGATCTTGTCAATGATCTCCAGGCAGCTGGGACCACAGTCACCAAGAAACCAATTGGCAACACAATACGTCGACAAGGATTGAAATCCTGCAGTGCCCACAAGGTCCCTCTGCTCAAGAAAGCACATGTCCAGGCCTGTCTGAGGTTTGCCACTGAACATCTGAATGATGCAGAGGAGGACTGGTTGAAAGTGTTGTGGTCAGATGACACCAAAATCGAGCTGTATGGCATCAACTCAACTTGCCGTGTTTGGAGGAGGAAGAATGCTTCCTATGACACCAAGAACACCATCCCAACTGTCAAACATGGTGGAAACATTCTGCTTTGGGGGTGTTTTTCTGCTAAGGGACAGGACAACTGCACCGCATCAAAGGGACGATGGACGGGGCAATGTACTGTCAAATCTTGGGTGAGAACCTTCTTCCCTCAGCCAGGGCATTGAAAATGAGTTGTGGATGGGTATTCCAGCATGGCAATGACCCAAAACAAGCAGCCAAGGCAACAAAGGAGTGGCTCAAGAAGAAGCACATTAAGGTCCTGGAGTGGCCTAACCAGTCTCCAGACTTTAATCCGATTGAAAATCTGTGAAGGGAGCTGAAAGTTCAAGTTGCCAAACATCAGCCACCAAATCGTAGCCTCCCTGGCGGTATTCCCGAGTGTAGTTCGGGGTAAAGTTTCAGTACCACAAGTGGTAACCCTGAACTACACTCGGGCTTACCATGCGGCAATGCTCCGGGATCTGTTCTTCACTTACCTTGTCCTTCGCGCGATGTCCCTCCTGCACTGTCCCTGGTAATGTCCTCCGGCGGATGCCAGCATCTGTCATCTGGGTTCCGTTCCCTGCAAGCGTCGGGACATACGGGGACAGAACCGGAGAAAATTTGAAAATGACAAAAAGTGACATTCACTTAAATCACATAGTAAAACATTACTGTATCAAACCATTTCACATACATTTTGTCCCTAGTGCTTTGTCCTGTGCCCTGCCTGCATTTTTACTATTCTTTCTGCCTGGAAACTGAGAAATGTCCATTGCGTCCAAAAAGCGTCCCTTTAGGACAAAAGCGGTTTTAGACCAGCTAGAGAACAGCGATAGTAAATTAGAACCACTTGCAGAACTGAGTGATAATGATTCGTGGGGAAATTTGTCATCAGACACTGAAAACGATTTTGCAACTTTGCTCAGGGATGTGCGAACTTGGCGCTATATTTCAAATTTCAGTGTTTTTGGTTTGATTATATTATTGAATTAAATTTATTATATTATATTATTTTTTATGATTATTTATTAAATTATAATTCATGATTTCGTGTTTCAAATTGTAACATACCCGGGATGTTTACTAGACTCTTGTTCTGACAGATTTCAGTGAGTTATTCCTAAAAATTACAGGCCTGCAATAAAAAAAACGACATATTTCCATGCAAAAAATGTACCGCTTTGAGCACAGAAATATGGACATAATCAGACCGCTAGGGAGGTTAATAACTTGGAGAGGATCTGCCAAGAGAAGTGGGCCAAAATCCCTTCTGAGATGTGTGCAAACCTGGTGGCCAACTACAGGAAACGTCTGGCCTCTGTGATTGCCAACAAGGGATCTGCCACCAAGTACTAAGTCATGTTTTGTGAAGGGGATCAAATACTTATTTCCCTCATGAACATGCAAATCAGTGCATATTTTGTTAGACATGCATTTCTTTTGAATTTTTTGTTGCTATTCTCTCAGTGTTACAATACACCTACCATTCAATTTTTAGACTGGTCATTTCTTTGTGAGTGGGCAAACATTCAAAATCAGCAGGGGATCAAATAATTTCCTTCACTGTATCCCCAAAGGTAAAATAACCACAAGGTTTGTTCCATAGTACAGATATACTTACTACCGTATTTCATTGAATATGTACAACTATAACCCATCCTGTTAAATTACACCCAGTCGATGCCTGAGATGGTATGGCAAAATCAATGTGGGGAAGACTCCAACTGTTTTGTGTTTTTTGTTTTGTTTTTTTTTCACTTTCTTTTTTGGGCAGCTTTTACTTTTTTAAATCACTTTGTCACTTTAAAAAAAAACATTTTTTTTTCTTTTCCTTTCCTTTCCTCAGTCTGCTGATTAGGGGAGGGGTTAATTGCTCACAGGTGCTATATAACTTTCTGTAGAGCTCATTCTTAAGCTTTCCTGTATTTTGCTTGCTGGACATTTGATTAAGTGGAGTTAAAAAAACTGGAGTTGAAAACAGATTATAGCAGGAGTCTATTAACCAGTAAGTGACAACTGATATTTCCTGTTAGTAATAATATTGTAACTGGGATAATTATGAGTGCTAGCAGGGTTGAAGGTTTTGTGCAGTGCACAGTGTGCCCCATGTATGTAACAATGGAGCAACAGGATGGATACCGCTGCTACAGATGTGAGTGGGTTGCCCTTCTGGAAGCTCGCATTAGAGATCTGGAGGAGAAAATTGCAACACTGGGCAGAACCGACAACCTTGAATGGGGTCTTCTGCTCTCTGAGCAAGTAACTAATGGGATTGATGTAGAGGGTGGAGGAGCTAGTCAGGATTATCAGGTAGGAAGATGGGTTACTGTAGCGAGAGGGAATAATAGGGGTTCACAGAAAAGGAAGGCTGGCCCTGGGTTTCAGCACCCAAACAGATTTGCCAAGTTTGGTGAAGATGTTGAGGTGGCAAGCTTGGGGGTGACAGCCCTGGATGTCATTGCTATCCCTAACAGTTGGGAAGGCAGACCATCTGGGAGGGGTGTTGAGTGTAGTGCAGGAAGGCCTAGACAGTTGGTAGTAGGGGATTCTATAATCAGAAAGACTGATAGAATAATTTTTCACCAGCATCTCAACTGAATGGTTTGCTGTCTCTGGTGCCAGGGTTCGGCATGTGGTGGACTGGGTTGATAAATTACTGGGAGGGGCTGGGCATGACCCAGCTGTCTTGGTCCATGTTGGAACCAATGACAGAATACATGGAAGGTGGAGGCACCTTAATCAATTCAAAGAACTAGGCTGCAAGTTGAAAGGAATGACCTTCAAGGCGATATTCTCTGAAATATTACCTGTGCCATGCGCAACACAGGAAAGAGTTTAGAGAACTGAATGCATGGCTAAAGACCTGGTGTAAGAGGGAAGGATTTGGGTTTTAAGAGCACTGGACTGACTTTTCATTGGGGTGCAACCTACTGTATATGCTAGAGATGGTTTGCACCTAAATGGAAGGGGGTCTGCTGTGCTTGGGGAGAGGTTTATGGGAAGGCTGGAGGAGTATTTAAACTAGGATTGAGCAGGGAGGGAGAATTAGATTGTAATGGGGCAGACGGGTAAGTCCTTATTGGTGGGTGGAATGGGGAAATATGGGGGGAAGGCTATGGCAGGTGATAAGAAGGTACTCATGTTACAAACAACCAGTGGAATTGGTACCATTTGTACGAAAATAAAAAAATATGCAAAATACGTGTGCACTAGGTGTCAATGAATTAAAGTGTTTGTTAACCAATGCTAGAAGTCTGCCAAGCAAAATAGGTGAGTTGCAAGCTTTGGTGCATGAACAGAACTATGATTTAATTGGTATTGCTGAATCTTGGCTTCAGTTTTCACATGACTGGGCCATTAATATTCCTGGCTATGGTCTCTTTCGGAGAGACAGGGTAAAAAGGAATGGTGGTGGCGTCTGTCTCTATGTGAGAAGTGATCTTAAAGCGAGTATGAAAGAGGACCTAGTTGATGGAGAGGGATGAGGCTGAAGTATTATGGGTGGAACTGCACATGGGGGGTGCTTACTACAAAGGTTAATCATTCTTTTAAGCCACCCAGTGTTAATGAGGAGGTTAAGGTTTCTTGCACCGAATGAAATGGCTGGAACAGTGAAAATAATGGGGGATTTTACCTACCCGAAAATTGGGAGTAGTAGTGGCACTGCAGGAACAGTTAAAGGGCAAACATTTATAAACTTACTATAGGACAATTTTATGGTACAGTTCATAGAGGCCCCAACTAGGAATGATGCTCTGCTGGACCTGGTAATCTCAAACCATGCAGAGCATATTAATAATGTACATATAAAAAAAACATCTGGGTAGCAGTGACCATAACATGATTTCATTTATTATTAGCTGTAAACAAGCACATGCGGGAATAATTAAAAATGCTCAACTTTAAGAGAGCTAATTTTCCAAAGCTGAGAGCTGCTCTCCAAGACAGACTGGAAGGGAATCGATGAACACAACGCAGAAATGGGAGTTTTCCAAAAAGACTATGTGAACACTGCAAAATATATTCCCATGGGCAACAAGTTTAAAAGGCTAAAAAATCAAACTTTAGTGGCTTACGACCAAAGTTAAAAAAAAAAAGCTATAAATGTGAAAAGAGCTTTTAATAAATATAAAAATGAAGGAATGCTATCATCATTTAATCATTACAACGAATATAACAGAATATGTAAAAAGGAAACTAAGGCCACAAACATTAGAAAACGAGTGACAGATTGCAAAAGATAGCAGGACAAGCCCCAAAAAATTCTTCAAATATATTCATAGTAAAAAGGTAGGCCCTTTACAAAATAATCTAGAGTGGGTGACTAGGGACAAAGAGAAGGCAAAATGTATTAACTATCTTCAGCTTTGTGTATACAAAGGAGCATGGGGTATTGACACAGCTCCAGATGATCCACATTGGCTCACAATTGATATGATCCAGAAATATTTAGACAGTGTAAAAGGTGAATAAAGCACCTGGAATGGATGGCATACACCCACGAGTCTTTAACCACTTGCCTACAGGGCACTTGTACCCCCTTCCTGCCCAGGCCAATTTCCAGCTCTCAGCGCTGTCACACTTTGAATGACAATTGTGCGGTCATGCAACACTTTACCCATATGAAATTTTTATAATTTTTTTGTGACAGATAGAGCTTTATTTTGGTGGTATTTAATCACCTCTGGGTTTTTATTTTTTCTTAAACAAACCAAAAACCACTGAAAATTTTGAAACAGCTGATCACATGACCGAGCCGACATCTTCGGCTCTTTCCATGGATCGGTGATCCGCTGTGTCCGAGGAACACAGCGCACCACTGATCGCCGCGCTGCGTGCTCCCTGAGCTGCGCATGCGCAGTGAGAATGGAAGGACGTCATATGACGTCCTATCAGAACAAGAGAACCACCTTGCGCCCGTCATTGGACTATATGGCGGGCGGAAGGTGGTTAAAGAATTGAGCTCTTTCATTTCAAAACCATTGTTTCTAATTTTTAGGGACTCTTTAATGACTGGCATAGTACCACGGGATTGACGTAAAGCCAATGTGGTACCTATATTTAAAAAAGGGATCAAAATCTTTACGAAGTAATTATAGACCTGTTAGTTTAACTTCTTTAGTTGTGAAGATACTGGAGAGTTTAATAAAAGACCACATAGATGGGTTCTTGCTGGAAAAAAATATTTTAAGCAATAGATAGCATGGATTCATGAAAGACAGAAGTTGTCAAATCTGATTTCTTTTTATGAGGAGGTGAGCAAAACCTTGGACAGAGGGGTGGTGGTGGACGTGGTATACTTGGGTTTTGCAAAAGCGTTTGACACAGTTCCCCACACATTGATAATGTGTAAGGTAAAATCTACAGGCTTGGAAAAATCCATATGTAAATGGATAAACTGGCTAAAAGATCGTATTCAGAGAGTTGTGGTTAATGATTCATACTCTGAATGGTCTAGGGTTGTCAGTACTGTACCCCAAAGTTCAGTGTTGGGACCCTTACTTTTTAATATATTTATAAACGATATAGGGTCTGAGATTACAAATACCATTTCAGTCTTTGCAGATGACACCAAGCTGTGCAATGGAATAACATCCTTACAGGATGTCTCCAACCTACAAGCCGACCTCAATGTACTGTGTAATTGGGCAACTATGTGGCAAATGAGGTTTAATGTTGATAAATGTAAGGTTATGCACTTGGGGGCTAAAAATATGCATGCATCATACATACTGGGGGGGAGGTACAACTGGGGGAATCAGTGGTGGAGAAGGATCTGGGAGTTCTGGTAGATCACAAGCTTAATAATGGCATGCAATGCCAAGCTGTGGTTTCTAAAGCAAACAAAATCCTCTCTTGTAT